TGATATAACTGTGAAACAATGTAAGTATTTGCTGAATAAATATTATAAAGTCATTAACTTGTAGGGTGCAATGCTGATTGGTGGAGCAAGGCCGCCACCTGCAGGATAAAGGTGAAAAGGAACAAGGAAAGACCAACTTCTTTCATGTTTACTGTTATTTTAACAATAAAAATAATTACTATAAACAATACAACAATGACTATAAAATAACAACTCTGTAGTTAAAATTAAAGCAGAAAACAGTTTCTTAATCCTTTCAGTGGGGGTACCCCTACACTGCAAGGGTTCTGTGCTCGTTTTTGTCTAGGTTCAAAATTAACAGTTGTATCCCCCGATCCTCGGATGGAAGACGGCTGGCTGTTAGACCGGTTCCTGCAGCATCGCTTCCCCTCTGCTTTGGCGGTCTAAGGTCCTGTAAGTCATCACGTCCAATACACTGTACAGGACTTAAAGACGCCGAAGGACATACCATCGCTGCCGTGGAGGAGGAGACAGGCAGGATGGACCAGTATAACAGCCAGCTGGCTCCAAGGATCGAGTGGATATAACTTTGTTTTTCTCTAGGTGTAAAAATAACACTTAACCCCTGCAGTGCGGGAGTAGCCCTACTGCAAGGGTTTAAGAATTTTTTTCCCTCCAGAGTTCTGCTTCAAGGCTGCAAAACGTATATATGGGGCCACTTACACACTCTTGTTCCACTGCAGAATGATGGGAACCTGAAGCTCACTCAGGGCACGGTTACTTACCTTAAATCTACATAGTTCCCCCTTCATCACATCTGCCAACTTCCTCCTGACACTGTGCCCTTTCATCTACTAATAACCAAAAATTCTCCACCTCCTCTATAATCTTAAAGGAGAACTATGAGGTGAGTGATTTTCACTCCCCTCAGAGTTCTAGCCGCCCTGTGACAATGAGACTGTCACAGGTCGGCTCAGTAGATCGGGAAATGAGCGAACACAGAGCGGCGGTCGCTCACTTCTCGATCCTGTCACGGCAGAGAGCTGTGACAGGGGAGGGACTGGATTCCCCCTTCCCCGCTCCAATCCTCCAGCGCTGACTGGCGGAACGGACGGGGGAGGGGGCAGGTACAGCTGGCTCTGCCTCTAGATAGGCAGAGCCAGCTGTCACTCACGCAGCTGGGCGGATCCAGACCTAATTGTCGGGATCCATTTCAGCTGCGGCGTCTCAGTATACTGAGCTTAGGGTGACGGGGGGATGCTAGTTTGTGTCCTCCCATTACCCTTAGGAGAACTATGGGGAAAAGCCCTAACCCCATAGTTCTCCTTTAAGCTGGCCATACAATTATAGATTATCTGCAGACTTTCTTTGGTCAGATGGGAAAAGGGCAACAGATTCCTCCATCTACACTAAACTGTGTGCATGGAGAAATCTCCCACTGGTACAAGTTTCAATATCTTGCTAGTCGGCCCCGCTGGCTCTCAAAATACCTGAACAATCTGATTGGATGCAGACATTGTTTAGGTATTTTGACAGCCAACGGGACCGACTAGCAAGATACTTAAACTTGTACCAGTGGGAGATTTCTCCATGCACACAGTTTAGCGTAGATGGAGGAATGTGTTGCACTTTTTCCATCTGACCATAGAAAATCAGCAAGGTGCCCCTTGTCCCATACATAGGTGGTCAACGAGGTGCCCATAACCTATTACATAGGATGGTTAGCACCATTTTCCCATGTTAATTGCATCAGTGGTCAGCCAAGGTGTGCCTACCCCCTATCTCTTAAACATAATATGCCCCTGAAATCATCAGTCAGTAAGGCACCTCCACCCTCAACATTGGTGGCCAGCAAGGTGTTCCCACCCCTGACATTAATGGTTAGTGAAGCGCCCCTCAACCATTTCATAGGTGGACAGCAGATCAAGTAAAGGCAATGGTCTTACAGCTTCTCGCTTATTGTGGAGATGGGATTGACTTTGGAGAGGGGAAAGTCTTTGAACAGCGTTAGAGAGCAAATATTCAGGAGATTTTGGTGCAACATTAGGGACGGGATATTGGAGCGGCTATGGGCTGCCGCTCACATTGTTACTTTCTACAAAATTCCAATGATGAAATCTGGTCGCTGGAGGAAAGGTGACTGCAGAAATATTTCTTCCTGCCTGCAACAGACTGATGGCATCATTCTTCCGCACTTCACCCCTCACCCTTAGCATAGTCACTTGCCTGGAGCTCGAAGGCTATTACTAATGATAAAAGGTACAATGTTTTTGGAAATTGTTACTGTTGTTGGATATTGGCATATGGTAGGAATTTGTTCACAACAAGAAATTATCCTTTTATTTTTGTTATATGCGATGGAGTGAGACACAATAACAATAATATAAAATAGCAAGAAGCTTAAAAATTTAATAGTCACATCAAAAATGACTTCTAGTTCGCAGACCACACTCTAAAGGTGACCATACACTTTACAACCATCGCAAGACTAAGGTTGTAAAGTAATTTAAAAAACGTACGATCTGCCCATCTTGGACAGGCAGATCGTACTTGCGATCATCGCTTCCGATGACCGCAATGCTGAACGGGCAGTGTACGCGTGCGCACACCGGCCCGTTCGGCATTTGTCTCCCGAGCATGCCACAAACCAGCCGAAAATCGTAAGATTTTCGGCTGGTTTTCGAACATGCTCCTAAAGGTGCCCATACACTGTGCGATTATCGCACGATAATCGCTGGAAATCCGTATGGAAGGCGTGCGACCATTTTTACTGTACGGTCGCACGTCTTTTGTCTAAGGAGCATGTTCGAAAACCAGCCGAAAATCTTACTATTTTCGGCTGGTTTGTGGCAAGCTCGGGGGACAAATGCCTGTTCAGCATCGCGGTCATTGGAAGCCCGCCCCGATGATCGCAAATGGTCCTGTGGACCGACTTGCCTGTATACCTGTATGTACCCTGAAAATATGCTATGTATGTTATATGTTTTTACCCTGTTTAATACGAATAAAACTTTATTTGACTAAAACCATCTTTCATGCCAAATGATAGTCGAGTTACTACACTGATTATATGCAAGAGATTTTTTATTGTGCCATTCGGTGCGCGACCTCATTGATCCATGAAAGGAAATGACAAGGTAAAGAGGATCACTGCTACCCCAATAGTGACAGACAGACGATGAGGGGTACAATGATCAAAACAGGAGCAGACAGAATCTGGAGCAGCTGTGGTTGCCATGGATTACTACTGCAGACGCTGCCAGCTCCAGTTTTGATAAATTCCTCCCAGTGTTTTCCAGTTTAGGAGCTCCATTGAGAAACTGATGGCATAGCAAGTGAGGTGACCAATGTCACTGTAGGCAAGCAGCAGAAACAGATAGAAGACCTTGCAAGCAGCAGGGAGGAGATGATTTCTCGACGCTGTATGGCAGAAAGAGAGCACAGAGCCCGGGTGACATCAGCAACCAGTACCACAGTGTTAACCCCTTCCATGGCTCTGGACCTGGAAAGCTGTCCACAGCTACTTTTGGAAAGGGCCCCACGTAGAACCCAGTGCCTGAAGGTCACTCCCAGGCTATCCCCACAGTCCAGTCCAGCGTGGTCCAGGCGCAGTACTACGTCAGCAATGTAGAGAAGAGTCTTAAATGTTAAAAAAAAAAGTTCTATGAAATATAGATACGTTTTCAGCAGAGCAGAGCTATAGAAGACATGTCTGATCCTCCTAGGAGACTGGCAGAAAAAAACTGAGCCATGCTAGTAAAGAAGGGGCTGGCCTACAGTTCTCTAGTCTGCCTGAGGATTAGAGAGTAAGTTCACTTTCCCAAGTCATTTGGGAAGCTTGAATTACCCGGCTCAGATCCAGACCCCAGAGAAGCCCGGGAGGGAGGACATCCTCCGGCTCTCTGCTGCTCTCTATCTGAGGTCTGTAAGTGTGACTTCTCTTGAGGCCATTTTTGTGTCCTCAGGTCTGACGAGAGACTGGGTGGGGGACAGGGGGGATTCAGCTGTGGGGGATTCTTATGAGGAGTGCTCTCCTGGAGGGTTGCTGTGTGGGGGGTACTTATGGTTCATGACACTGACAGTGCACCTGGCTCCTACCTATCCACCATTCTTTTGACACTGACAGTGCACCTGGCTCCACCTGCAAGGTGCACTGTCTATAGAATGGTGGATAGGTGGAGCCAGGGGCACTGTCTATAGAATGGTGGATAGGTGGAGCCAGGTGCACTGTCAGTGTCAATAGAATGGTGGATAAGTGGAGCCAAGTGCACTGTCAGCATCAATAGAATGGTGGATAGATGGAGCCAGGTGCACTGTCAGTTTCTATAGAATGGTGGATAGGTGGAGCCAGGTGCACCGTCAGTGCCAATAGAATGGTAGGTAGGTGGAGCCAGGTGCACTGTCAAGATGTGCAGTCTACAGTCCACCTTGCCACCATTCTGGACCTATCATCATTTGAACCCAACTTTTTTTTTTTTTTAAAAGCTGTTTGGACACACCCACCATAGCTCCACCCACACGCTCATTAATGACGCTCTCTGAGAGCTCCCAGGTATGGTAATATCACTGTGCCCTGCAGCAGAGCTGAGGGATCCGGATCCTGCGAGAATGCACTCCCGCTCCTGTGTTTATACGTCACACACCCAATAGGCTCATATATCAATATTCCCCATTGAAAAACTACTGCATTACACCGGCCACCTATAATCTACCATCGACTACTCCTGCCTGAAACTGACGATATCTCTTTAGCAGCTAGCATGTCTGACTTTACATCTCTCTTTTGATTGGTCAGTCGCATAGAGGTCTGACCCGCAAGAGTCTCCATTCATTTATTACGCGAATTACAAGGCAAGGCATATCCCCTTCTGTACTTTAATCCTTAACTTCCACAGTCATTCAAAACGAATTATAAGTCAGCATAGGTGTCAGTTGTAGGAGATGACAGACTGTGACAACGTAACACTAACGAGAAAAGAAAAAGAGTCCCCCCCCCTGTTACTTTGGTACAGTCCAAATGCTGACTGACGCGCATGCGCTGTTTGATTTCCTTCTCGGACTGTCATGGCGGCCAGTACGGTGGGGCGGAGGGGGCATAGTAACATGAATACGCTGTCTTTATCCGGGAAGGAGATGGCCCGGTGGCTAGGTCACGGCGTACTTGTATTCCTCATTCTCTCCTTGTTGCTCCCAGCCGGTGCTCGGGCTAATGTGTGCAGAGTGAAGGTGAGAGGCTAACAATGACTGGCCGGCTGTACAGGAGTATGGGGAATGCTGGTGTTTATTAGTATCCTCCATTGTAGGTCAGGAAGGGTAAGGGCCCCAGAGCTGAGCGTGTATAGATGAAGGGTAAGGGCCCCAGAGCTGAGCGTGTGTAAATGAAGGGTAAGGGCCCCAGAGCTGAGCGTGTGTAAATGAAGGGTAAGGGCCCCAGAGCTGAGCGTGTGTAAATGAAGGGTAAGGGCCCCAGAGCTGAGCGTGTATAGATGAAGGGTAAAGGCCCCAGAGCTGAGCGTGTATAGATGAAGGGTAAGGGCCCCAGAGCTGAGCGTGTGTAAATGAAGGGTAAGGGCCCCAGAGCTGAGCGTGCGTAAATGAAGGGTAAGGGCCCCAGAGCTGAGCGTGCGTAAATGAAGGGTAAGGGCCCCAGAGCTGAGCGTGCGTAGATGAAGGGTAAGGGCCCCAGAGCTGAGCGTGTGTAAATGAAGGGTAAGGGCCCCAGAGCTGAGCGTGTGTAAATGAAGGGTAAGGGCCCCAGAGCTGAGCGTGTGTAAATGAAGGGTAAGGGCCCCAGAGCTGAGCGTGTGTAAATGAAGGGTAAGGGCCCCAGAGCTGAGTGTGTGTAAATGAAGGTTAATAACTATCCTAATAACTGCCATTTAAAACTAAAAGCAGAACTTCAACCAAAAATTAGATGAAGATGGACCTCCCATGATAAACGTTCTGCATTTTTTTTGCCCTTGCATCCATTTTATAGTTGAACTAGGGGTGTGTGTATTCGGACTCATTCACCGGGGTGCAGAGGTCCATACACAGCAAAAAACAGCAGGATCTCCGCACCCAGGGGCCACAGGTATTGTGTACAGCCTGCCGGTACAAATCAATGACAGGCTGCAGCTGTATGTTCATACAGGTTCAAAAGTATACCCCTGGAGGCAGACAGTCTTCATCCACGGGTGTACATCCGGATCTGTGCACAAGTATATGCTCACAGTGTATACCAGTGTACAGCTGCAGCCTTGATTTGTCGCTGTATGCAACACCTGTGGCTCCCAGTATATAGTAGGAAGAATCCGTCCACACTCCTATGCTAATTCAGTTTATTGAAAGTTCGTCAGTGACACAGGTCTGCCCCCTCTGACATTTTTTACCCAATTCTGGGCTTAGTCACATGAATATGGGTGATGCATGTCAGAAGCATGTTAGTCATATGACACAGCCCAGGTATTGGGTGAAACATGTCAGAGGAGGCGGACCTCAGGCAGAACTCTGTGTCACTGACTAACTTTCAATAATCTGATTCAGCGTGGTACAGAGTGCAGCCGGATTCTTCCTTTACTATATACATGTTTGGCTGCAGCGAGGACACACTCCTGTCGGTGAGCACCCAGCTGTCTTTCTCCAGCTAAAGCCGTGGAAGAGCAGTTCTTTATTCCTATACCTCAGGCTCCTGGGCGCAAAGATTTTTAATACGGTGTATGGACTTCTGCACTCATGTAAATAAACCCTTCAATCTTGGTGAGCTTTGTGTATTTCTTCTTCCAGATCTGTGCAGTAATCCAGTGTGAAACTTTCCTCTGTGCAGGATCTTCCTGTAATAAAGACCGGTCACTGCTGCTCTCCCCTTGTGCCGGGTGACTGGTCTTGTCTCCGCCCCCCTCTAGTATTGCAATGCGGTGACTGGCACCGACATGAGATGACTTAGAGAATAATGCAGCATGTCTGCATTTTTGGCAATGCACCACTCGTCTCAAGGCAGCGTTGTGATGTGAATAGGGCAGATAGCAAACAATAAATATGTGCTCTTGCAGTGGCTGGTGTTGATCAGGTGCTGAAAAACACCAGTAACCACACATGATGCGAACGGGCCTTTAAAATAGGAACTAACTCTCAGTGACTTTCAGCTTCAACATGGAGATCAACAAATTAAACATTCCAAAGTAAACTATTTACTAAAATTGTTGCCAAAGCACTTGCGGTTTAGCACTTTCAATGCCCTTGGTTCTCTCAGTGCCATGTCCTGAACTTCTGGTGAGGAAACGCATGTATACTGAAGAGGTAACTGGGGACAATGCAGTCTCAAGCAGCTGTCAGTCTATTAGCTGGGAGTGTCTTGTTATCCTAGGCTAGAAAGCTGTGTAGGGAGACACTTCTCTAATCTCAAGCAGGAGAGTGCATGCAAGGGTGACTCCATAGGACACTGCAAGGGAAAGGAGCCACCCTGAAACAGGAAACATTATGCAGAAATCATGGCACCAACTTAAACTGGAACAAAGGCTACATTAAAAATGTGAAGAAGCTGCATACTAAGTATTTAAATCAGCTGCTGAAAGTGCTTGTAGAATTGAAGGTTTATTTTCACTTATTGCAAATGCATCTACAGGTTTCTCTTAGTCCCCCTGCAAAGTCTTGCCAGTAAAGTCCACCTAATGCAGCTTCCTGTGATAGTGTGGCAACAATGCTGCACTGTTCCTGGACTCAAAGCGTTGTTGCCTCTCTCATGTAGAATGCGCCTACTTGCACTACAGTGGGATGAACAAAAATGCAGAGGGCTTGGCTTTCAGCAATGTCACTGCTATTCACAGGCCTGTAGCTTGTCAATCAGCACCTGGCCACACCTAGTCCTGCCCACTGCTTTCTGTATTGACAGATCTGCCTCTGTTGCTGAACCTTCCCCCCCTGTGAGCTGCAGTGTCTGGGAGGGAGAGCACATGAGACCAATGAAGGAGGATTTGGCTCAGTCAGGGAAGGAAAAAAAAAATGAGGCTTGTGCATCACACAGTAACTGGATTTAGGGCTTGGTTACAGTAGACAGTCACACGGGAGCCTTTAGTTTTACTTTATTACGGTAAGTGTTTGTAATGTGCTAATCAAAAAATACGTTGTGGTGATGGTGGAAGTAGCAAAAACGGAATCAAACTTTCTTAAAAACCTATTTTGACATTGACTGTTATTGGAACCCAAAGGACAAATATTAAAAACCTTGACTTATCCTTCAGAATCGGGGACAGACAAAAGCTGTGTTGGGACTGATATCCAGTTTCATTCTTTCCAGGTTGGAGAAGGAAGAGAATCTGAAAACTGTGGAACAAATATCGATTTGGAGCATTCGTTTGAACTTGGTAAGTTGGTGATGAGGCTGTTTCTGGAATGCTCTCCCTGTTACTGTTTTACATTGTACTGATTCCCCTAGATCAGGGCTGGGCATATTGCTGGAGCCAAGCTGTCAGGGCTGTGTTGCTGCTGATGGATAACATGGAGAACTATGGGGTTAGGGCTTTTCCCCATAGTTCTCCGAAGGGTAACGGGAGGACACAAACTAGCGTTCTCCCGTCACCCTAAGCTCAGTATACCGCGAGCTGGAGCTCGTGGTATACTGAGACGCCGCAGCTGAAGTGGATCCCGAAAATTATGTCTGGATCCGCCCAGCTGTGTGAGTGACAGCTGGCTCTGCCTATGTAGAGGCAGAGCCAGCTGTACCCGGCCCCTCCCCCATCCGTTCCACCAGTCAGCGCTGGAGGATCGGGGAGGGGAGAACCCAGTCACTCCCCTGTCACGGCTCTCTACAGTGACGGGATCGAGAAGTGAGCGAGCGCCGGTATGTGTTCGCTCACTTCCCGATCTACTGAGCCGACCTGTGACAGTTTCATTGTCACAAGTCGGCTCAGATTATGAGGCTGAGGGAAAAGCACTCGCCTCATATTTCTCCTTTAAAGGAGAACTATTGGGTAAGTGTTTTTCCCCATAGTTCTCCTAAGGGTAACGAGAGGACACAAACTAGCGTCCTCCCGTCACCCAAAGCTCAGTAACTCGCGGTATACTGAGACGCCACAGCCGAGACGGATCCCAACATCACTGTCGAGATCCACCCAGCTGCGTAATTGACAGCTGGCTCTCCCCCGTCCGTTCCGCCAGTCAGCGCTGCAGGATCGGACAGGGGGGGCGGGGGATTCCCTGCAGGGAGCTGTGATTGACGGTCACGGCTCTCTGCAGGAATAGATCGAGAATTGAGCGAGCGACGTTATGTGTTTGCTGACTTCCCGATCTATTGAGCCGACATGTGACAGTTTAATTGTCACAGGTCGGCTAGAACTATGAGGCTGAGTGATTTTCACTCACCTCATAGTTCTCCTTTAAAGAAGACCTCTGCTAAACACTGACTGCGTCCACACTGAAGCAAAACATCACTGCTATAAGCAATATAGTAACCTTTCTATGTTGATACACTTGGGTGGTGGGGGGGGGGGGTTTGAGGGCGCAGGATTGCAGGAGCAGGGGTCACAAAACAGAGGCTGTGTTATATACTTTACTAAATGTTAGACAGCCTGAAGTTTGTCTAAATATTTAGCAAATTGTTATGTGTGTTTTATAAATGTTTTCACACAGATTTCACCAAGTTTTACACATGAAAGTGGTGTGATACTCAGGTGGTATAAATCGATCCCTCACTGTTTATGTGGTTGCCATGGTACTAGCAGTTCTGTATTTCAGGAAGAACACGCCGTGTATGCTCTGGAATAATAGTTATTTTATATTAATATATTTAAAACCAGCAGTTGTAAGTCTTGCTGGGATGTATAAAGAGCAGAACAGTTGAAATACTTCAATGCTCCAGGCTTTCTTCGACTCTCCTACCATAACCAAAAACCTGGCATTTGGCCATGTAATCTTTACAGGAGGGGGGAAGTGGAGTTTAGATCGATTGATTGTTTTCTTTAGTAAAGAGAACATGTTTTCTTTAGTAAAGAGAACATAACTTAAACAGCTCTGGAGGCAAGTAAAGCAACTTTATATCCAGGATAAGTAAGTATCTCGTCCTTTTTCACACTTAGCAGCAAATTTGTTGATGTAATCTTATGTTAACGTTTTGGTATAGGTTGACTTTAAAAGAGAATTATAGGGAGAGTGAAATGCACTCTTCCCCATAATTAGAGCCAACATGTGACGCTGAAGCTGGCACATGTCGGCTCTATTGATCGGGAACTGAATGATCACATACCGATGATCGCTGAGTTCCCGTTCTTCTCTCTGCAGAGAGTGGTGACTGTCAGTCCCGGCTCCCCGCAGGGATTCCCCCCCTCCCCTCTCTGTTCCTCCAGCACTGACTGGAGGGACGGATGGGGGAGCAGGCGGGCACAGCTAGCTCTGCCTCTACCTGTCAATCAGGTGGTAGGGTACAATATTGTCGGGATCCGTCCCAGCTGCAGCACGGCTCTGTTTTGGGTCACAGGAGGACATTAGTTTATGTCCTCCTGTGACCCTAATGAGAACTACAGCCAAAAAAGGTTATGCCATAGTTCTCTTTTAAAGAAGCTGCTGCTTTAGGACTACTGAAAGCCACTGGCAGGTATGAATTGCAAGCACCAGAAGTGTCTTCAGCAACTTTCAGTACCCTGTGCTTGGCTCATATGCTTGGTCATTCTGATTGGACACTTTCTTATAGTGCTGAAACGTTTCTGCACCATCTCACCTCTAAATCAATCTTGCTGGGCTGTGAGGCACCCATCATAGTGCTGGGTCAATAGGAAATGTGAAGGGACATGGCATAATGGCAAGCTCTAAATCAAAAATGTCAGAGCTTTGTCTGATCAGAACAACCTGCCATTTGGACCAAATGGGGGAACTTAATATATTTGTGCAGTGACCCTTCGGCGCCTGCATTTGTCACTTCAAGAATACTGAATAATACTAACGGGTATGGAGTCTCACTAAAGCATTTTCAGCTTTGATATTGATGTTTTTTATATTTACAGTTCTTGCTTTTTTGCCTTTCAGTGACTTTAAATATGTGTGACAGGTCTGGAGTATAAAATATGTAACTGGGGTCTTTTTGTTTTGGCATAGATGACAGTATCCACTTCAAAAAGAGAGGGTCGCTGATCCTGAACCCTTCCCCAGACCAGAGTGTTTCTATTTTACAGAAGCAGCTGACGGAGGATGAGAGGAACAGATTAAGGGTACGTGCTTTATGTTTGAAAGTTCCTTCAAAACCAGTTTCATTCGATAAAGTACACGCTCTGCAAGAATTATAAGAGGACCTGTACTGTGGAGGCAGTGCCCAAAAAGGGCAAGTGGCAGGACAAGTCACAATATTGCCTGTATGCTCCCTGTAGCTGTCTTTTTTTTTTCCCCCCATTGCTGACTCATCATGCCATGTTTCATACTATGTTTCTGTATGGAGGAGACCATTCTTGCTCATGTCAGAGCTGTCCTCATGATGACTACTGGGGGACATGTTTAAAAAACAGCAGGACAGATGTAGAAAGCAAAGATCCACAAAATGAATAAGGCAGAAACAGACAAATCTGCATTGCAGGACCTCAGGAACAGCGTCCCCTCTAGAAAGGAGAGCCGTGATCAGCACAGTAATGACCTCACCAAATCTCACTCCAAATCTGAGACTAGCAGTCAGGCACAGTGCCTGAGATCCTACACTGCAGAGTTAAAGCAATCAGGCTACAGACAGCAGTCTCTAGACACAGTCACATGTCAGGAAGTGAATTATCATTTTTTAGTATCAAGGTAAAAGGTTTTAGGGGTTACTACTTAGGCAAAGTTAAAAGAGAACTATAGAGTAAGTGTTTTTCCTCCTAGTTCTCTTTAGGGTCCAGGGAGGACATATAGTAACCTCCTCCCATGACCAAAGCTCAGTATATCGTGGGCTATTGCCTGCGACATACTGAGAGTGCCACAGCCAGGACAGATCCTGACAATACTGTTGAGATCCACCCAGCTGCTTGAGTGACAGCTGGCGCTGCCTATCCAGAGGCAGAGCCAGCTGTGCCCGCCCCCTCCCCTATCCGTTCCTCCACTCAGCGCTGGAGAATCGGGGAGGGGGGGGGGGATCCCTGCGGTGAGCGGTGACTGTCAGGGAGACTATCGGGAAGAGAGCGGATCGGCTGGATGTTTCTGCTCACTTCCCGATCGATGGAGCCGGACCTGTGACAGCTTCTTTGTCCCAGGTCGGCTCTAACTATGAGGATGAGTGGAAATCACTTACCTCATAGTTCCCCTTTAACAGTTCACTAAATTCCCAATAAGATAATAAAACTTTTTTTCTTTTACATATAGGTACACTTTAAAGTATCTGCTTTTCAGACACAACCATCTTATACCATCTCCTTTTCTTCATCTCTTCATAGTAGTGGTAATGCATGTTGAGTCCAGCATGACACAATTAGGGCGGTTCAGAGGTTTGCTAGTTTCTGCTTTGATAATATGTACAGAAGAGTACATTTTAGAATATTTTGTGCTGCTTGGTAGAGAGTTTCTGCTAACCCGATTCAATCCGATCATGTCCAGGCTAGCCTGGGTTCCTGGTGTGTGAATCATCTTACATCTCTTTGTAACTTAATTTAAAAATTATATATATATATTACATTGTTTGCTCTGATATGTTGAAAGCATGATATAAGATTTGTAAAGTTATTCCTTCTTTAATTTTGAATTATCAGACCCATTCAAGTCAATGTTATAGTGAGTATTTATTTTTTCAGGATATCGCAAACCTGAATGGACTTTATAGAGTACGGATCCCTCATAAGCTAGGACTATCTGAAGAATCTAGTCATTATGTTACATCATTTGTCCGGGCGGTAAGTTCATGTTTTTTTTTCTTTTTTTTCTTCTGTGTAGGATTTCAAAGAAGTCTGTACTAAGGGAATAGGGATGCTGTTGTTAATGGCGCTTCCTTTTGATATTGCTAGTGGCCTGGCTTTTACCCTAATCCGCTGGTTTCAGTCGTATGAGGCATTAATGTGAAATAACTATGCAGATTCGGGGTTCTAACTTTCCTCTGCATGCTTTTTCCATGTATGTGACTTGAATAGTATTGATGCCAGAAACAACTAAGCAAAAACTATTCTCAGAAGATCACTAATAGCAGCCACTGTCTTAGTTTTCCTTAGAAGGACAACTAAATCTTTGGTATAGTTGACCTTTAATTAATCCCCTCACCTCCCTACAATCCACTTGGTCATTGCATGGCACAGGCTTTCCAGAAAAATCACCTGTGCCAGGTTGTTTTCTTAGTTCGATTGAGTTCTGCAGACCCATTCATTATTATGAGCATCTGTGCATGAAATGATTGGGGAAAGAAGAGGACCCAATGTGGACATTTGCTGTGCAGGGCTGCACAGTAACTATCACTGGTATTGGAACAACGGTAAGTAGGGATGCACCGATACTAGTATCAGTGCCGAGTATTTGGGCGAGTACTCGTACTTGCCCAAATGCTCCGATGCCTAGCCTGATACCCGAGCTTCCGGTATCAGGAAGTGTAATGACTCACTGCCCGGCTTCCTGATTGGCTGGCAAGCCAGCTCCATGCTCCCTCATCATTACACGGCGCCCGGCTTCCTGATTGGCCAGCTTCCAGACCAATCAGGAAACCGGGCAGTGAGTCATTACACACTGCCCGGCTTCCTGATTGGCCAGAAAGCTGGCTCCATACTTTCTCGTCATCTAGTGACGAAAAGCATGGAGATGGTTTCCCGGCTAATCAGAAAGCCAGGTGGCTGGTCATTACACGTCGCCTGGCTTCCTTAATGGTACTTCCGGTATTCGGTATCGGTGAGTACCGAAATAAAATATTCGTACTCGATACCAGAAAAACGGTATTGGTGCATCCTGAACAGTAAGTATTTGACCAGGTGGCTTGCACTTAGGTGGGGAGAATTAATTAAAACAACTGTTTTAAAGGTACCATAAGACCCGTTAAAGTGGACCTATCACTAAATTTTACAACACACACTTTGTTTTCTGAATGGTTCTCTTTAAGCATACCGACATAAAGAAATCAAATACAGTTTTAAGCCCCCAAGATTCATACTTCATGGTTTTATTTTTTTATTTTTGTCTGATCATGTGAATTTTACACTTTTAAGTGAACATGTAGTTTGGCCCTGCTTGGCAAAACAACATTTGCATTTTAATGCCCGCCCCTGCAACAGCTTAAACTCACTTTGTTCCAGTTTCATGCTGGTAGCAATTAAAATACCCAATACATTTGTGTATAAGAGGGCATGTGACACTCGCACTTCCTCCCAATTGGCCACTCAAATTCTGTTACATGGGGATAAAGACAACCCTGTGTAAGCTCCATCGGAATGAACTTGGAGCTTACAAAGGACTCCCTACTCTTTGCACCCCACAGAGTGGTTCGGCAGTGAAGGGAAGACAAGTACAAAGCATGGGAAGGTGAACCACAAGTTCATGTTAACATTCTATGTCATGGTGATATTTTCATTGCAGTGCTCCATGGTCGAATCTCACCTCTCAGATCAACTCACTGTTCACACGGACATTTCTGGGAATATTGTCGGTATTTCCATAGTCACCCTGCCAGGGTCCTGCAATGGTGTAGAGGTGGAGGATGTGGATCTAGAGCAGTTCAATACCACTGTCTATATTCAGCAGCCTATTCCTGCAGCAGTGTGAGTTCCTATCTCAAACTGTTGTGTGTTTTGTTTTCTGTCATTTTATTTGTTCTATCAGATAGCCAGCATTTTATTTCTTTCCAGACCTGAAACTGCAGCTTTCATAGAGCGCTTGGAGATGGAACAAGCCCACAAAGCAAAAAATCCACAAGAACAGAAATCCTTTTTTGCTAAATATGTAAGTGTTCGAGCCTACAAAAAATGACTTAATGTACTAAAAGTAGAGGTTTCCGAATTCATATGGTACTCTTTTTGGCTACAAGGAATCAAAATGTCATTTGGACACCTTGCACATTGCTCTTTGCCTCAATACATAAGCTTGTTTGACTAGTCTGCATTTGATTACATGGGAAAGCACGTGAGGGCTCACATAAATTATGTATTGTCCACGCTGCATAGGGTAACCAAATGATGTTCTAACTCTTGATCCCCCAGCGTGCCTTACAAAAAAAAAAAACTGCAAGAAACGGATTATTAATTCATTAGTTGCATATAATGGGGGATTACTGTTAGTCATTTTCTCTGCAAAGAAATGTATAAAAACTGTGGGAATGAAAAGGGGAGGTGTTGTCCTGGGCTGCCAATTGAAGGCTCGACAAGTAAAAATCACTGAGCTGGTATTTTTACCAGTAAACTTTGCAGTTACGCTAAGGCCTGAAAAATCACACAGGTAACTTCACGTCATATGACATAATAATTGTTTGGTTTCATATATTTGCACATTTATGCCTTTCATGCACTTAATATGGAGGTTAGCACCTATTTCACTATAGTGATTTAATTCATTTATCCACTTTGCTTCTACACACTTATATCTAGTCATCCCTTTAGTTACTGATTGAACCATTAGCGCTGTATATTCAGTTAAACAATGAGCCTATAGTGGCGGTGTTTCAGAATACCTCTTTCTTTACATATAGGGGAGCAGAGTTCCCAGATTTACAAACAAAAGGTAGAGAGACTGGAGCATTACAGCAGTGCCTGTATGTAAAACCAAAGTACTGAGCAAGTAGGGTGTGCGATTGCTGGGTTCTTTCCTAAAATACCAGTTGCCTGCCTCTTTGGCTTCAACACTTGCAGGGTTTTTCACAAAGGGTGAAGAGTTTGGAGAAGGCAGGAGAAGTAAGCATTCTAGGACAACATGGCTGAACTGAAAAGTGAGCTGAATTGGCGAATTTTTCCAAATCAGTTATGTTGTCCTAGATTGTTCACTTCTCCGGCCTTCTCCAAACTCTTCACCCTTTAGTGAATAGCCCTGTTGGAGTTACTCATTTGGAACATGTTTGAAGATTACAGTGAAGGACCACTGATATGCATACTAGTTCCAAGTCTTTACCACAGAAACCTCTCAAACCATTGGATCAGCAAAACTGTCAGGCAGCCAGCGTTTGTCGGCAAGGTCAGCAGCGGCAGCCTACGTGCTCTTATCAAAACCGGTTTCTGTTACCACTCATTTGTGGCTGGAATATTAAGATACGTTTTCCAACCTACACTAGAAACATTGAAGTTTAGGATCTTTTGGCATTTGTGGATAAAGCAGACCCTCTCCCCTTCCCCAGTTTTTATACATCATTTCCTATGGTTATACAGATATAGGTGGCAGGCTGGTGACAGACCTTGGCATACTGGGGCATTGGGGTAAGGCAGCCTATTGAAATGCACCAGAACATCCAAAATAAGGGACATGCACCATTTTTGGCAGGGCACCACAACACTCGGTAGAGCATTACCACGTGTTGAGGTGCTCTGCAACCTATGTCTTGTTGGAGCTGCATTGGGATGTCATTCAAAATGGATGGCACAGGAACGTGTTGATGCATGTAACATGCATTGCAGTAACGGGAAGCACTTCCCAGTGGAAACGTGTCTATGGCCTCTAGGGTCTGCAGTGTCAGTATGGTGTAACGACGGAGAGTGGTTTAGTCTGTGAAAGTTCTCATTCATCCAGGTCGTGGTATATCTGTAAGGCAGCTGGACTCGCTGTATTTTTCTTGAAGGCGTTAGATGACCAGCGGAACGTCTTCAAGAAAAATACAGCAAGTCCAGTTGCCTTGACTTATTTTTGACAGATATGAAGAGTGGTTTTGTTTCAGCACAAAGCAAAGTATTCCCTGAGCACCTGTATTGTATTGAGACTCTGACACAATACAAATGCCAAAGGCTCTCTCCCTAGGTGCTTTAGTATACAAGACCTATGCATAAGCCTCCTTCACATGTCATGTGTCCAGGGTTATAAGTGACGTCTGTTTTATCTCTCCATCCTCACAGTGGCATATAATTCTAGGAGGGGCAATGTTGCTAATGTTAACCAATTCGGCGAAACTTCCGAGGGAGCCGGCACAACAGGCCTGAGGAACTGAAGTAATTCACTTGTCCTAAACTCTACCCCTTCTCTAATGCTACTCTTTCTACTTGCACTTTATTTTCTCTGAGCTCTGAGACTAAACGAATACAAATTATGAACTAACAGATTTTCAAGGGCAGATATTAAAAAAACAAACTATTGGGCATATGTCTATCTCCTGTCAGCAGGACCAATCGTGTTCTTTCCTCAGTTGTGTGAGGGACCATTTTTTTGCACTTGCTGCACATCACTAGGACAAGGAGGTGGAGTTTTGTAGCATCATGAGTTCAGCACTTCTTCCATTAAATGATATCTTGGCCTTTTAGGCGTGCTTTTAGTTTGACTGCACAAAGACAGCCCAGGTCTGATTTCTGCCTGGACTTTTACCTATGATTGACAAGGCACAGAACACTAAGTAGCCAATCTGTAGTCCTCATTTAATGTTCTAGCTGCTTCAGCATAAGGCAAGGCAAAACTTGCTTTCTAAGGGGAAATGTTGTCGCTGCCTTCTAAGGCCCCGTTCCCACTGCGCGATATGCACATCGCGCGATATCGCGAGATTTGCCGCGCGATATCGCGTTCAAGCTTGCATTGAGCAAGCTTGAATCGCAGCTAAATCCTCTCCAAAAAGGGTCCTGCTGTAGCAACACACGACCCGCGACAGCCGGACCCTTTGCCCCAGTGAAATGCATTGGAGCGCGATATTGCGCGGTAATTTGCCGCGCGATAAGTCGCTCAATGTGAACGGGGATTTAAAGTAAACCAGTAATGGGAAAATATGGAGCCTTCTATTGCTGACCTTCCTGTCTGAAAATGCTGGTTGCTTTGCTGTCATGGTGATCCAATGTTTTTTTATCTTTCTAACTCACTGACCCAGAACTAATGTGCAGATCAGGAGTTTTTATTTTGCTTGCTGCATATTTTTATTGCAGACCAGTAACTCAGAAAGCATTGAGAGCCAGACCGCTAGCAGTTCAGGGGGTCAACCGTGGCAGCGCCCCAATTTCCCTCGCTACAGATTTTCCTTGAAAAAAACCTTTCTGTGCAGTTAGGCTGTTGGTAGCTGTGTATTGTCTGTAGCAATTGTTGACTCAAGTTTGTCATTGGGAGTACACATCCAGATACAGTCAGTGGA